GCTTTTCATTAAAAAAAGAATTATTCAAAAACATGCTGTAATTGCTGACATCTTAGGCAACAAAGAAGTGTGTGTTTACGCTTTATTATAACAGTATAGATAAATTAATAATTGTTATTAATGGTAATTATAAAAATATTGAATGTTGAAACTTGATTAAACACAGTGTAATTAGAGTGACACTAGAAACTTTCTTTCAGTCTTATGAAACGAGGCAGCAACAATTATAACTTTGTGTAGAAGTTAAAGGAAGTTGAGAAATTGTTCGTGACTGTTGTCTATGTTTTTTTCGTTATTTGACTTTTAACTTTTTCTTACAACTTAGATCCTTTGTGCAACTTTTAACCGAGTTGTTGTTAAATAATTTTTTAGAAGGAATATTAATTTAAATGTTAAGAAAGAAATTGATGTTTCACATTTTTGCCATAAAATTGTTCAGTGTAGTTTAATGCATTTGACCTCTTTGTAGCAAAGGAGTTTGTTCACTATTTAAGAGGTCGTGCTGGATTTTAATGCGTAAAAAATGAATTAAAACGCCTATGACGCGCGGGAAACAAAAGATATAACAGTAAGAGCCGTAAAAATAATTCGTAAACAATATTCTTGTAAATTATCATTTGTTAAGCTATCTGTATCTATATCCAATATTAATTAACAATTTCTATTAATTTAGGTTGTCGCTGTATACGGTATACTTCAACATATGGCAAGGAGAGGGGCACATTTAGCAGTCCTGACTACCCCAAACCTTACTCCGCGCACGCGGCGTGTTATATGTACACATTCATAGCTGGACCTCATCAAATTGTCGAGTTATTTTTCACCGATTTCGATATTTATAAAGAAAATCTTGAGTAAGTAAAAAAAAGTAGTTGCACTTGAATTAATCCAGAGATATTTTAAAACAAACATGCCAAATGCATTTATGTAGAAACTATGTACGTAACTTTTATACATAAGCGACACCAACAAATCTTTCATTTAGAAATGTTTGAGCGAATGCCGCTTAGCTTGAATTTGCACAACAGAAAAGCTTTTTTGCTACAAACACGTTCTATTTCAGTCGGCTTTTAGCAACTTCAAAGAAAAAATGTAACCAAAATGATTTGAAAATGTTTCGCAAACTGTGATTTATTTTTTGAACGCAATGTTTTGTAAAATGCAGCGGCTTTTGCATAATTTTGAACTTTGTTTTTGTATAATGTCACAAGTAATCTTATTGCTGTTCTTTATCCTTAGTTGCTAGATTCAGTTTTGTTAAGGTTTTATTAACTCCCTTCTAACCTATAACATCTTTCAGGAATATCATCTTACTTTTGTAGCCAGCTACCTTCAAAACTTTCTTATTTATGTGATCAACAATTACCCTTATGCCATGCTTTCTTTCTTGTTTATTTATTTCCATATTTGTAGTTGTACACGAGGTGACTTCGTGAAGGTATATTCAGAAGTCGGTGTTCACGGACCTGGTCCTCCCGTTATAACTGAGTACACGATGTGGTCACGTGTACTCTGCGGGAACAGGGCGGACGCACCTCCGGCGCTATACTCACATGGACCAGTGCTCATACTCGAACTGAACGTTGGAGGTAAAGCAACAAATGCTACCGGATTTATTGGCACGTTTAAATTTATAGACAGAAGTAAGTGATAATATTCTCCCTTACAGTCCATTGTAAAGCATGCAAATAATTCATTTTTGTATCAATCAATTCTCTTATCCAGGAAACTTTGAAACCGATGGTGTCCATGTTCAAGATACTTGGTGTGATTACGTGTTTGATTCGAATTCAAATAAATTAGCATATGGTCGGCTGTACAGCCCGAGATATCCCTCGAGCTATCCTAACAATATAAGATGCAACTATCATTTTAATGCAAGGTAATTTACATTAAATAATAATAAAAAAAACATACCAAGGTCACCTACCTTTCTAGGTAATTTATCGAATCCACCAACCCAGAAGATGTTGAAGAATACAAACCTTTCCTCTTTATAATATTAATATAGATATTAATTAATAATTCTGTTCTTACAATATTCATCAACACAATAAAAGTTAGTCTACTTCTCCGAGTTTTCATATATTCAAAAAATCTCAACAAAATTATTTAAAATAGACATACTTACAATAAGAAAAATATGTTTCAGGAAAAATGAAAGAATTAAATTGGTATTTGAAGAATTGTTTTTGCAAAAAGGCGATGAGAGGTAACGTACAGTCCAATGGTACAATATTTATTAGTATAAATTTCTTTGAAACCTATGTTTTATTTTTAATTTCAGTTGTCTTAACCGTGCTGATGTAATCAAAGTATATGACGGACGTTCCTCCACCGCACCAGTGTTGTCAATTCTTTGCAATGAAGTCGTTGGTAATTCCATAATTTTATTAAAAATATAGGTGCGAATGTTTGGATGTACGTATATATGTTATCGCTTAACTCTAGATAGGCTGGACGGATTTCAACAAAGTTGGAATAGAGGTTGTAGTCAGTTGTTTTGTTTTATTTACATTTGAAACAACATATATTTCAGGTTACGAAATCTTATCAACTGGCCACGAACTTTTAGTGCAGTTTACAGCAAATTCAAACATTCCTGGACAAGGATTTAAGGCGAGATATCAATTCCAGATGGAAGACAATGAAAATGAAGGTTTAGTAAAATTATTGAAAACAAATTTAGTTTGTATAAATACATTCCATAGACAAACCATCGAGAAAACTTTAACTCAAGCAATCTCTCTAACACCAGCCATAATGCATGCTTGTGGCTGGTGTCAGAATATAATCTTTTTTTGTTCTAGATTCTTTAAAAGCCAGTATAGATGACTCTGGTTCTTCATTCGGTCCAGCAGTGAGCGCAGCAAGTGAGTTTTGTTATAACAAATCATTTTCTGCCAATTTTAACATTAGTACAATACAATAAGATGAAATAATTAAGTAAATCGTGCTCTCAGTATGAAATGACATTTTCACCATTACTTCTTCAATCAGTTTTTTGAGCTAAAATGAAATGCTTTTTAGATATTTCGGATAGCAATTGCTTGTTAGATTTTAAATAATAACAAAGTCGTATAACAAATTCATAATTTCAGCATCTTCCTGCCATCAAATATTTAGAAGCGATAAAAGCAAAAACGGTTCATTCACCTCACCAAAGTATCCTTTGTCGTATTTACCGAATACGCAATGTCACTATGATTTCCTCGGCAAAGGACGAGAGAGGGTACGATTAGTGTTTGAGGACTTTAGTTTGCAAAAAGTGACAGGACATATAATGGAGTAAGTAATCTATTAAACTACATCATAGGTTATGTTACTCAAAAATAAGTACACTCCCATACAATGCTTATTTAAAATACTTTTTTTTGCACAGATTATTTAGATTTAGAGGGCGCACAACTGCTATGTAATTGTCGATAGTCGATTGTTTCGCATGCCATTCAACTGTTTAGTTGCACAACTAAAAATCGAGTGTGTACACCGCCGTATATGCTCACAGGAATCAAAGGACGACTAAACAGTTGGGCGGTATTTTAGACAATTGTGTGTCCGCTCTTATTATACGAAATATTAAAGACATTCTTTCTGTTACAGTTGTGATAGTACAGATTCAATAGACATATTTTTATACGTTGAAGGTCGATTAGAGAAAATGGTTTCTCTTTGTAGGAACGATTTACCAAAACCTATCATGTCAAACGGTCCTAAGTTATCGATGGTATTCAGAGGACTTCATTCATCTGGAAATAGCAGAGGATTTAAAATATCTTACGCATTTGTTACAGGTATTGTACATTTTTGTTACAAATTTTATTTCGTCCTAATATTATAAATTCGAAAGTTTAGATGGTTGGATGTTTGTTAGAGTTTGTCGAGTTTGTCTGTTAAACTGCTGAACGGATCTCGATGAAATTTGGCATAGATGTAGAGCATAGTCTGGAAGAATACATAGAGTAATTACTTTTGTGTTTTTTTAATTCACGCGGACGGAGTTGTGAGCGAAAGTTAGTTATACAATGAAATCACTGTATGAATCTGTATATCTATTTTAACAACATAATATTCAAACACTTGGCTATTAAGAGTTCTCTAAAGTATTAAGTCAAAGATCATTTTGACTTGGAGTTTAACTAAAAAAATACTTGCAACATTTAGCTCCATGGTACACAATGAGGCAATTAACTGATTTTATCTCTTTTTTACAAAGATTACGCGCTGAAGTCTGGACAGCAGCTTCTGGAATTCCCATGCGCTTTTGTATTCAATAGCAGTGAAAGAAGCAGAGGATTTATCACATCTCCCAATTATCCTGGCATCTATCCTCGCGACACTGAATGTAATTACTTCTTCTATGGCAATAGAGACGAGAGAGTCCGACTTCATTTCACACATTTCGATATTGAGGGAGTTATTCCGTGAGTATTTTTTTGTTTATTGCAAGCAAAATAAAATTAATAAATAACCTAGTCGAATACTAATTAGATTTGTTCTAAAACGTCATTACTGTGACTTTTTGGTAGTGAGTTTTAAGTTTTTCTATCAACAAATCTGATAATAAGTACGCTTCAAACTTAATCGTAGTTAACTATTGTGTAAATTATAAAAATTACAATTTAACAATTGCTCGGTAAAGTTATATTTAGAATCGGAAAATAATTTTATCTTCTTGTAAAGCATCGTGCAAACCAAATTCTAACGTTCAGATTTAACGAGCTGTAATTATAACAACATTTGTTACAGATGTAAGGCAGTATCTGCGAGTGACTACATACAATTCTCAAGTCAGATGGTCGATGTAGAGAGCCCGAGGTACTGCGGGCAATTAAACGAACTTCATTTTACTTCGAAGAATAATTTTCTTAAACTAACATTTAAGTCCAACGACCGTCTTGACGCCACGGGATTTCATGCGGATTATATTTTCTTGAGAGATTCAGAAATGCATAGTATGACAATGCCTGAATTTGCGGACAATGGTAAGATTTAAAATGATGTTATTAACCTATCTTAATAATATTATAAACGCAAAAGTTTAAATGTATAGATGTTTGTTAGAGTTTGTAGCCTCTACTGCTAAACGGATTTCGATTAAATTTGTCACAGATGTAGAGGATACTCTGAAAGAGCTCATAGGCTACTTCATTTTTCTTTATTCTACGCAGATAAAGTCATGGGCAAAAGCTAATAAATCATAAATTAGATATTTCTATTACTGCTAAAAATCATATTTAAAAAAATACATAAAAGAATCTCTTTAAAATGATATATTTTTGTTTCACAGGTGCGACAACATTAATTCCAATCTTGTTATGGCAAATAATTTTAATAAAATTTATTAATATAGTTTTACAATATGGTGACAATATGTTTGAGAATTTGAAGTTTTAAAATTAAATAAATTAATTTTTACATAACTTTATTGTGTTTTAATTCAAATAAAAAACATAAAAGGTCAACATTATTGATCAAGTGGTGTTAATTTAAAAGTTTAGTTTCTTGTAAAAATAAACTGTTGAAAAAATACTAAATCAGGTCAATATTTCACGTAACGGTTCCTTCTACACCATTACCTGCATCGGTGACCCAAAATGATTATGCGATTTACAGGCCTATTACCTGTGGGTAAAAATAGCAAGCTTTCCACTAAATCCATTTTAAGGAAAAGATGTAATTTGAGTTTTACTCGTATTATAAAAACGGAACGTATTTACACAAACAATATTGAACATTTGTCACGTGTATGCAATTTTTGACCAACATTTATATCAATACTCAAAGTAGAGAGTTTCATTTGCACCAAAAGGTTTCCGATTTAACGTAGTATTTGTTACATATAATATTATTAACTACTCTGAGTTACTTCAAGATATAATTCACGATATCTAAATAAAAACTTAACCTGATTTTAAAATCTAAACATTAAACGAAGGGTTTAATTGTTTTTGTAACCAAATTGTAATTAAATTGTTTTGTATGTATCGGAAAAACTCAAAAACTACTGGGCCGATTTTAAAAATTCTTTCACCGTTAGAAAGATAATTTTCTATGAATAACATTGGCTATATTTTTTTAATTACACGCGGTCGAAGTCGCGAGCAAAAGCTAGTACAAAACAATTCGGCTCCCGCATATTAATGAAACAGAGTATAATTAAGGAAGTTTAACAAGATATAACAGAATGAACACAGTAAGCTATCATCACGTCATATCGCCCCATAAGTCTTCTCAAAACGTTTGGGAAGATTTATGAACGACTAATTTTAGCCCGCCTTCGTTCCTTTATGGATACAAAAGGCATGCCCATCCCCGAACAGTTTGGTTTCCGCGCCAAGCATTCATGCACTCA